ATTCCTCTTTACAGGAGATTTTAACCTCTTTTTTGTTTGTTGTTCATCAGCAACTTGATTTAGATTAGTTTGACCACTTTGATTGTTCTCCTTAGCCACAACTTGATGCATTGCACTGGCCTTGTAGAATTTCAACAATTTGGGAGGAGTTTTGTATTGGTTGGGATTGGCATTGGCTACTCTTAGTAGCCTACAAAGTCACAAAATAATCCTTACCAACTTTATCGAAAATGAAATGAAAAAAGACATACTAAAACCCTCAAAACAGTTCACAATATATTTACCTTTGATGTAAAAGTTCCCTTGGATGTAGCAGATCACTTTGATGTAGAAGTTGCAGTTCTTGGCCTTAGAATAAGAGAGTTTCTCATCACCTAAAACAAAGGTTGACAATTACAACTTCCCGAACATAATGACAGATGCTAAAACACAAAAAATGACTCTAAAACATTGCCACTGGAAGTTTCTTCATTAAGGCTTGCTCTTGCAATTTGTTTTGCAAGCTTTTTAGCTTCCTGCCTCATCAAGTATTTTGCTTGTTTAATAGGATCCACTGGCTCCTGTAACAAAATATAAAGTTAGTTTAAGGTTGAATCAATTTAGTTCATAATTAACTCAATGAATTAAGATGTACTAACCTTGCGGTTGACTCTTGTATGCCTCTCTTGCCCACAATTTCCACATGATAAATTGGTGTGGTATCTTTGGAGTTTGTGGAGATTTGGATTTGGTTTTTTATCAGGTCCCTTCTTTTGACTTTTCTTTGGTCTCCCAGGTTGCTTATGGTAAATGAGAGGCATTAGAGGAGGGTCCCCAGTTCTTTGCCACTGGTCTTGGCTAGGCATTGGCTCAACTATGTGCCTATAGGTTCTCATGTAAGCTTATTTTTTAGAGTAATCATCAACATAGTCTGCAGGATTGCCATGGAATCTACTAACTGCAGAACAAGCATATTGGCAAGGAATCCCAGAAATATCTCATGATCCACAACCACAAGTGTGGGCATTCAAGCACTACTACAAAAGGACCTAATAGTGTCAGTTGTTGCGTCGGTTTAATATTATATAGTGGCGAAAAAGAGATTTGCGACACTCACTGAAGATGACGTCGTATTTACTGTCGCTTATAAGCGTCATAAACTTTCTCTGTCGCTTTTAAACCGACGTAAAAATTTAGTGTCGCTTATAACCGACATATATTTTAATATTTTTAAGTACTGGCGTCGCTTTAAATAAAACAATGTCGCTTTTAAGCGACATAAACTATGGGTGTCGCTTCTAGGCGACACTAATTCTTGTTTTTAATATTTTAAATCCTGCGTCGGTTTTGAGCGACATATATTTTGAAAACCAGTGTCGGTTGTAAGCGACACATTGATGGTCTTTATATCCTCTCCCCCGTGTTTTCTTTTTCTTCTCTTGCACTTTTCTTATTCGTTCTTCCAATTTTTACAAAGTCTCCCGTGTTCTCTCTCTTTCAGCTTTCTCCTTTGGTTTTCAAACTTCATTTGTTCCTCTTCACAGTAAGTTTTTCTTGCTTATAATATTTTTATTTTCTCCTCTTATGTTTAATTTTTAGTTACAATTTATTTTTGTAGGAAATTTATTTGAGTTGGTTGAGTACATAAAGAATTGTTGACGTCGAAATTCTTCAACAAATCTGACACACCCCAACCGAGATCAGGGCATGCTGGCCGTCACGTGGAAGTGACGTAGCCATGTGCACAGTGCGGAAGCTAAAAACAGTAATATAAAAGTACAAATAATTTAAAAACTAGCGAATATAGAGTGATAGAATATGTGCTAGCGTAATTAAGACACTGAATTCAGAGCCTAAGGCCTACAGCAGTCCAAAAGAAACAATACAACAAAAGTACACCCGAAGGTGACCCTACGTAGGTGAGTATCTGTCAGAATGCCGGGACGTCCTCCGGGAACACCACCAAACCCGCTAAGCTACTAGAACCTGGAGGGGCGCAAAAACAAAAGCGTGAGTGGGCAAAACAAATCTCTTAGAAAACCATTTCATAAAACATATTATAACCCCTCGCCGTAAAACCTGTATACTTCCCAGAAAATAAACATATATACGTAGGTATAAGTATGCCAAGTATACTCAAGGGTATGCCAACATGCTCAAATGTATGCCATCATGCTCAACGCCTCATAATAACATGCAAGTGCTCAGGTATGTATATCACATCAATAGCATAATAAACTGGCAGCCGGAGTCCCCTAAGTGACCTGTACGGCTGAGTCTAGAGCTCAAATCACAACTAAATCCCTAAACCTGCCCACGAGTCGGAACCATCTATAGTGGTCTGTACGACAAGCCTGGGTGTAATACATATAAACGCTCTAGTGCTACGATCACGTGAAGGCTGTGCGAATAATCGCGGGTCACCTACGAGTCGGAACCACCTATAGTGGTCTGTACGACAGGACTGTGCACCTAACTTGGATTCAAGCTGAGCGTGTGGTGCGGGAGGTGAACAACACGTGAAGGACTGTGCCCTACTCTGGGCGGGAGCACTAACACCGGGGGTGCAGGTTATGAGCTCTCTAAGCACTTCGAATTACTATTTAATGCGAATGTAAAACAACGCTTACCTGGCACTTACCTAGGCCGCCACAGCACCAACATATATGTAAATGACGTAAGAATAAATATATAAACCAAATTATATGCCACTAATCATGCATAATCATCAATCATATAAAATTAATGGCGTAAAACGAGGCATTTATACTAATTTCTGGGAAATAACATGTATATAGGTATATACGGAAAACAAAAGCCCACTCACTGGTATGTAGAAGGGTCGTAGCCCCCCTGCCTCGAATGTGCACGCTCATCCTCGGGATACGTGTCACCTATATGCGAATTAACTATAAAAACGTTAACTTTAAAGCACATAACCGTCCGTTCAAAATAACTTCTCATACATTGCTCAAAATGGACAAATGAATATACCAACGTGATCTACACAACCTCACGATCACAACCATATTTTTTAAAATAATTTTTGGACATGCCACGCGCCCCCACGCGCCAGCACAGACACGGACCCACGCGCCCCCACGCGCGGTCACGCGCCCTGCACGCTGACGGCGTCAAGTGACGCCGTCAGGAATATTCCTTGGAATCTAACGGAATATTCCGTTAACCTTGACTGACGCCGTTAACGTCCGTTAGGAATATTCCGTTAAACCCTAACGGAATATTCCCTTGTCTTCTCCGGCCATCCCCCCTCGCCGGCGCCGTCGCCGTCGCCGGAAACCTGCAACTCGCCATATCTCACTCGTTTTTCAACCGTTTTTCATGATTTTTGCACCATTTTGACCCTTAGGACTAGTAGAACACGATCCTACAAGTTTTAAGGCTTAAAACTACGAGAAAATACCTGTCCAAGTTTCCAAAACTCGGCCAACTTCGAACCAGGCTTTCCCGACGTCCAAACTTGTCCAACGAAGTACTCCGAGGCTCCTCGTGACACCACCAAGCTGCCTACGAGCTTAGAAATCCCAAAAACTCAATGAATAACCTTTGCATGAATAGTACTCAAATCGGCCATTTTCGAAACAACGTGAAAACAAAGAATTTCTCACCTGAAAAGGGTATGGCTGTGCTCGCCTCGACCTCACGAGTTCAATGGTGTAGTTGGTTTCTACGATCTGTTAGGATTTGGTGGGTTGTGTGTTTGTCCGTACGTTTACAAAGAGAAGAAGGAGGAATGGAGCTCGGGGGAGAGAGAGAGACAGTGAAGAGACAGAGGAAAAGAGAGGGTGACAGTGTCTGAGAGAGTGTGTGTGTGTGTGTGTGGCCCAACACATGCCACACCACACAAAACAATCCACAACGTGACAAAAACGAACTAGGGGCAAAGTCGTAAATTCACATGTGCGTTTCGATATTTCCGGGACGGGATGTCACAAAATCAGGTTTGTATCACTAACTTCTTTAATTTTTAAATTGTATAATACACAAGTTTATTTATTTAAAAATTATAATTTAAGCACTTAGATAAAATTCTACTATTTTTGTTAAATTAATAAAAATTTAGTCGAATTAATTAATTTTGTCACTCTAATTGTTATTTTAATTTGTTGTTATTTTGATAATTTTTTGTTGTTATTTACTAGAATGGATTAGATGAACATAATTTGAATTGTTATGAGAAAATGGAATGAATAATATTTATAAGCATTTATGTTAAATTAACAATATTAAATATAACATAAACTTATAATATTGAGTAATATAAGAATATATTATGTTAATTTTTTTTTTTTTTTGCACTCTAATTGTTATTTTAATTTGTTGTTATTTTGATAATTTTTTGTTGTTATTTACTAGAATGGATTAGATGAACATAATTTGAATTGTTATGAGAAAATGGAATGAATAATATTTATAAGCATTTATGTTAAATTAACAATATTAAATATAACATAAACTTATAATATTGAGTAATATAAGAATATATTATGTTAATTTTTTTTTTTTTTTTTTTGCACTCTAATAAGAATAAAACCTAAACTTATAATATTTAGGAATATAAGAATACAAGAATATAACCCTTCATAAGAATATAACCTAAACTTATAATATAAGAATATCCTTTCATATAAGAATATAACCTTTCATATAAGAATATAACCTAAACTTATAATATTTAGGAATATAAGAATATATTAATTAATTTTTTTTGCACTCTAATTGTTATTTGAATTATTGTTATTTTGATAAGTTTGATAACTTTTGGTTGTTATTTATTAGAATGGATTAGATGAGCATAAGTTTGATAACTTTTTGTTGTTATTTTAATTTGTTTTTACTATAATAGGTGTTGAAAATTAAAAGATTGCAATCGTGATAGAGTTCGAGGGGTGAAAGATAGAAATTGAAAATTTTGATAGTTATGCCTACATGATAGGGATTGAAAGATTGTAGGCATCTTAGTGTCAACGTAATATTTTACCTTCGTAAAGTGGTAAAATATGGACAAGAGTTGGTTGACAATACCCCGAAATTTTGAAGCGTATACAACTGGAATTAATTTGTTTTTGGATCAAGCAGTTGCAAATGGTGTTGGTCCTGATAAGTTTAGATGTCCTTGCAAAAGATGTTGTAATCGATATACTTTTGTTAGGAACACCATTGTTGAACATCTCATATTGTATGATATGGATAAAGATTATAAAAACGCTTGTTGGCGACATCATGGCGAGCAAAACATTGGAGAGCAAAATGTGGGAATTGGAGAAGAAGAAACAGGAGATGAGGTGATTGGCATGCATGATTTTCTTAATGATGTATTTGTCCAACCATTAACAGAAGAAGGTGTTGGGCCATCTACTGAACCCCTAATTGGGGAAGGGCGTCCAGAAGAGGTGCAGACTTTTTTTAAGTTGCTTGAAGAGGCGGATCAAGATTTGTGGCCAGGTTGTAAGGAGTTTAAGAAATTGGAAGCAGTTGTAAGATTGTATCAGATCAAGTGTTTAGCGGGAATGCCTGACGAGATCTTCACCACTTTACTGGAGTTAATTAAAAGAATGTTGCCTGAAGGGGATTGTTTGCCTGAATCCTGTTATAAGGCAAAAAAAACTTATAAATGACTTGGGGCTGTCGTATGTGAAAATTGATGCATGTCCCAATGATTGCATGATCTATTGGAAAGATACTTCAGATTTGACCGTGTGCTCAGTTTGTGATAAATCAAGATATAAAATTACCAATGCAGAGGATAGCTCGAGGAAAAAGGTTGCAGCTAAGGTTATGTGGTATTTTCCTTTAAAACCACGATTGCAACGATTTTTTATGTCGAAGCATATGGCTGAACATATGAGATGGCATGCAACTGAATGTCCTAAGGATGAGTTTATGAGACATCCTTCAGATTCTCCCGCATGGAAGCATTTGGATAATTTATATCCGGATTTTGCGTCAGAAATTCGAAATGTCCGATTAGGGTTAGCCAGTGATGGATTTAATCCTTTTGGGAAAATGAGGAATGATCATAGCACATGGCCTGTGGTGCTTTCTGTTTATAATTTGCCACCTTGGATGTGCATGAAGCAACCAAATTTGTTATTGTCTTTGTTAATACCAGGACCGCGCAGTCCTAGTAAAGAGATTGATGTATACATGCGTCCATTGATTGACGAGCTGAATGAGTTGTGGGAAATGGGCATTCCCACTTATGATGCGTATTCCAACCAAAGTTTTACGATGAAGGCTGCCGTGTTATGGACTATAAGTGATTTTCCGGCTTATGGAATGTTGTCAGGATGGAGTACACATGGCTATAAAGCTTGTCCACATTGCATGCATGATAAAGAATCTATTTACTTGCCAGCGAATCGCAAGATTTGTTATATGAGGCATCGACGTTTTCTTGAAGATAATCATAGGTTTCGAAGGCAAACCATCACTTTTAATGGTCGTCGAGAGCATCGTAGTGCACCAAGGCAGTGGACTGGTTTACAATGTCTCAAAGAACTTTCTACATTGAGATTTACTTTTGGAAAACCAAACAAGGATGCTTCAGTTGGGCAACGCAGAAGAAGAGCTTCGAGCAGTACAAGTAGTAACAGTCAGTGGAAGAAGAAATCGATTTTTTATGAACTACCTTATTGGAGGCATCTGTTGATTAGACACAATCTTGATGTTATGCATATCGAGAAGAATATATGTGACAGTGTGGTGGGAACATTGCTAGATATAGAAAAGTCTAAAGATGGATTGGCGGCACGTGCAGATCTTGAATTCTTGAACAGAAGACATAGTCAACACCCACGTAGAGAAGGAAATAGAACATTTCGACCTCCAGCATTGTTCACATTGAAAAGAGAAGAAAAAACTGCGTTTTGTAAAGTATTGTCTACTATTCGAGTCCCAGATGGATATTCATCAAATCAGTCGCGATATGTGCACGTGAATGAACGAAAAATACATGGGTTGAAAAGTCATGATTGCCATGTTTTAATGCAGCAGTTACTCCCGCTTGCAATACGCCCGGTTTTGCCTAAAGCTGTTACTATGGTTTTATTAGAGTTGAGTGCAATTTTCAGACAGTTATGTAGTAAGAAGGAGTCTGAGGAAGGATTTAAGCAACTGAATTCAAGAATTGCCTTGACATTATGTCAACTTGAGAAAATATTCCCTCCTGCATTTTTTGATATAATGGTGCACCTCCCAGTTCACTTGGCAGATGAAGCAGCTCTTGCAGGGCCTGTTCAATATAGATGGATGTATCCAATTGAACGGTAATGAATAATTTTTTATAATTTTTTTACAATTGTAGTCATAACTTTAATTATTAATAATTTGTAATTCGTTTTATAATTGTAGGTATTTGCAAACACTGAAGCGCTATGTTCGTAATAAGGGTCGTCCTGAAGGTTCTATTGCTGAAGCATATTTGGTGGATGAGTGCTTGTCATTTTGTTCCATGTATCTTAGAGACGTTGAGTCTCGTCGTACCCGTAGAGGCCGAAATGAAGATGGTATTGGACATGGAGTATCTGGTGGGTTATCAATTTTTGACTCGAAAGGATGTTATATGGGTTCAGGAGAAAATGTGGAGCTCGATCTAAATGTTCTTGATCAGTGCCATAGATACATTCTAAATAATTGTGATGAGGTTAGCCCATTTAGAAGGTAAGAACGTTTAATCATACGTCTTAATGTTTTATTGGTTTTCTTAACTTTGAAAAAATAATTATCTAAATTGGACATAATTGTGTAGGCAACATGAAGAATTCTTGAAAACTAAATATCGTCGAGAAAGGTTAACTATGCGACAAATTAAGGAGCTAAGCAAGAAAGAATTTCCAGAATGGTTCAAGCAACATGTGAGTTGATATAGCAATCATATTATTTATTTATTGTTTTGCATTTTAATTATAACATGTTTATAGTTATTCTGTCAATTTTTATCTTCATACTTATTACAGATGAATTCAAGATATGATGCTAATGACACATTGATATCTCAAGACTTGCATTGGCTAGCTAATTATCCTAGTAGGGTTGTGAGTAGATACAAAAGTCACATTGTTCATGGATTTAGATTTCGTATAAAATCTGTGGATGATAAGCATAAGAATCAAAATTGTGGTGTCTTTGTACCTGCAAATGTTCCTGGAGCAATTGGGCAAGTGAATTGTTATGGCAGAGTTGTAGATATGTTCGAGGTCAAATATTGTGGTCCTACTGAAGCAGGAGATAGGGGTCGAGCTGTGATGTTATTTAAGTGCAAATGGGTTAATAGTGAAAGTCCACGAGGAATGAAGACTGATCAATATGGATTTACTATGGTGAATTTCAATCAATTGGGATTTAAAGAGGATCCTTTCATACTAGCATCACAAGCATCACAAGCATTACAGGCATTTTACGTGGAGGACACGATTGAAAAAGATTGGCACGTAGTTGTTCGAACTCAGCCAAGAGATTTATTTGACGTGTTAGAGGATAGTGATGCTATTGATGATTATGCCATGCCGAACTTGGATGATCGAATTCTTGATAATGAAAATTTTCATTCAAGGGTTGGCGTGGAAGAGACTCCCTTTCTTGAATCATTAGCGTTGCCTACCGGGTTCGTTAATCATGCCAATACCGACGATGAGTTAACAGATGATGACAGGGAATAAATATATTAATTATTTTTTGTATTAATTAGACTTTGTTTCATTTTGTATGCTATGATATCGTATCATAAAATTATATTTCTGTTTTTTTTTTTTCTTGTTTCCTGTCGCTTTTAACCGACGGGATATGTCATGAAATTATAATTCTGTTTTTTTTTTTTTTTTTTCTTGTTTCCTGTCGCTTTTAACCGACGGGATATGTCATGTGTGTCAGACTTAGCGTTGGTTTTAACCGACGCAACCTTAGCCTATTCCGACGCAACCTTAGCCTATTCCGACGCAATGTTAACCTTACGTCGGTTTTATGCGACGCATTATTATCATATTTCGACGCAATGTTGTGAATCATATGTAATAATTATATATAATTTAACAGTTTTAACAGTTTTAAAAACTATAATAATTATATATATTAACTTAAAAACTATAATAATTATATATTAATTTAACACCCCTAAAGACTTGATTTGTCTCATGCATAATCCCACATATTATTTTTTATGCATGGCCATGGAATGTTCTACTGCATGCCAAGTGTGGTGTCATTATTATTATTATTTTTTATAGTTAAAACGTGTTTATATTGTTTTGCAAGTGTGAAGGGGTAGTCATGGAAGAAAATGGCTCTATCAATAGTTGTATATAACTTTGTGTCTATTTTGTCTAATCAAGCGAATTATGAGTGTTTATTTTATCGGTTTTTATATGAGAGAAAAGATTATCTATGTGAACAAATTTGTTAGTGATGAGGGGGGTCGAAGGGGATAGGGTTGTGGTGGTGGAGTTTAGAAGCGAAGGTGAAGTTAGACCAAAGCTTGAGGTGACAGTAGCTAAAAAGCCTTTAATTTATTTAATTGTTAAATTTAAGGGTATTTGTGTCTATTTAAGTGAAATTTTGGATATATTTGAAATTTTTTATAAAAAAATGACATTTTTTTAAATCAAGAATTAATTTTTAACTATATTTGATAAATACTCAATAATTTATAATGTGCAGAAGACAAAAGTATACAAAAATCATTTGCCTGAACCATTATATAGGAAGAGATGATTTCTAATAATAATAAAAATGAAATAAAGTAAAACACACGAGATCAAGAAGATTAACAACATGTAACAAGTTTTTTTTTATTTTATTTTTTTAGCAAAGTACGATATTCATTGATTATGAAATTGAATAAGTACAACATTGAGGATAGGGTGCAAGTAATGGGTCTCCATAAAAACCTTGCCGGAAATTTCAACCCGGACGAAGGAAAAGAGTGTCCCACACCAAAGAGCTTACTATGAAGGGCCATCCTCAATGAGGAGGCTAGAGATTACATCGGGTGGTTCTTCAAACCAAAATAATGGGTTTTCCACCGTTACCCCAACCCTAGCCAATTTATGTGCCACCTTGTTTACACCCCTAAAGACTATAATAATTATAATTATTATTATATATAATTATATATATTAATTTAAAAACTATAATAATTATATATAATTATATATTAATTTAACAGTTTTACACCCCTAAAAACTATAATAATTATATGAATTCTACGAAACTAATTTCAACGATCCAACCGTCAAACATGTTTATATATAATTCGAGATCGTATACGAAAAATATCGCAAAAAACAAACATTCTGGGATGAAGTAACGGGACAAAAAATTTCGACGGTTATCAACGAAAAATGACGATTTAACGGTTATTTTAAGCCCGAGTTTGATGATTTTTTACAGCTACACTCCTTGAACCTATATAAATACAATGAATGAATTCGATCTTTAAATTAAAATATTTATACTAGTGGATACCACAAAATCTTACGTTATACTTAATGAAAGTATGAATAAACTCTTAAGTCTTAGTGAATCTATCGTTTTGATGGGATACGCATTCTACGAAACTAATTTCAACGATCCAACCGTCAAACATGTTTGTATATAATTCGAGATCGTATACGAAAAAAATCGCAAAAAACAAACATTCTGGGATGAAGTAACGGGACAAAAAATTTCGACGGTTATCAACGAAAAATGACGATTTAACGGTTATTTTAAGCTCGATTTTGATGATTTTTTACAGCTACACTCCTTGAACCTATATGAATACAATGAATGAATTCGATCTTCAAATTAAAATATTTATACTAGTGGATACCACAAAATCTTACGTTATACTTAATGAAAGTATGAATAAACTCTTAAGTCTTAGTGAATCTATCGTTTTGATGGGATACGCATTCTACGAAACTAATTGCAACGATCCAACCGTCAAACATGTTTGTATATAATTCGAGATCGTATACGAAAAAAATCGCAAAAAACAAACATTCTGGGATGAAGTAACGGGACAAAAAATTTCGACGGTTATCAACTAAAAATGATGATTTAACGGTTATTGTAAGCCCGATTTTGATGATTTTTTACAGCTACACTCCTTGAACCTATATGAATACAATGGATGATGATCAATGAAAATTGATGATTTTGTAAAAATAATAAAATGCAAGCTTTGAGTTACATTGGCAATGTTTAAACTTTTGAGAAATGCTCATCTAATCCATTATAGTAAATAACAACCAAATGTTATCAAAGTCATCTAATCCATTATAGTAAATAACAACCAAATGTTATCAAAGTTAAACTTTTGAGAAATGCTCATCTAATCCATTATTGTAAATAACAACCAAATGTTATCAAAGTTATCAAAATAACAACAAATTAAATGTTATCAAAGTCATCTAATCCATTATAGTAAATAACAACCAAATGTTATCAAAGTTAAACTTTTGAGAAATGCTCATCGAATCCATAATATATACTTATATTACTAAATATTACAAGTTTATGTTATATTTAATATTGTTAATTTAACATAAATGCTTATAAATATTATTCATTCCATTTTCTCAAAACAACTCAAATTATGTTCATCTAATCCATTCTAGTAAATAACAACAAAAAATTATCAAAATAAAAACAAATTAAAATAACAATTACAGTGCAAAAAAAATTGATTCAACTTAATAAATTTATTTATTAAAATATTATATGAGATAACATAACTGATTACTTTTTAATTTTGGATTAAAATTTTTTATTTTTTTTGTTTCTATTTTTATCCTTGTTCTCTTTTTTTTGTAAGTTAAAACTTTTTTTTTATGTTGGGCAGGAATTTTCCCCGTTTTTTTGCACGGGGGAATGGGTTGGAAGACTTTGTCAGTCATTATCATGTCAAATTATGCTTATATTGGCTTTAACCGATGCAAAATTATACACTTTCGAGACTATCTGCTACAATGGATTTTCTGTCAGAGACACTACACAAATTTGTTCTTATTTCGACGCAAATTTTATCTTATTTCGACACAAACTTGTTCTTATTTCGACGTTATAAAAATCTGTCAGTCTAACGTCGGTTTTAACCGACGCAATGTGGCCTAATTTCGACGGTACTGACTAGTATGTCAGGCTATAATGATGTTGAGTCAGACGGTACTGTCAAGCTTTCAGTCAAAAGCTATAATGATGGTTGAGTCAGACATAGTGTCGGTTTTAAGCGACACAATGGGTCCTTATTTCGACGCTCTGCAAACTAACGTCGGTTTTAACCGACGCAATGGGTCCTTATTTCGACACTATGCCACATAACGTTGGTTTTAACCGACGCAAGGTCTTCCACTGAAAAGTATGTCAGGCTTTCTGCCTAAAGTATGTCAGGTTACGTGTGTAGGCTTTCTGTCAAAAGTATGTTAGGTCGAGTCAGACCTTGTGTCGGTTTTAACCGACGCAATTTCGACGCTATGCAATTATCCATATTTAATCTTCTTTATTTCCTACCTCGTCTCTATCCCCCACTTCTGTCTCTCGTCTGTATCCCCCATTTCAGCCATATTCCTTCCACTTCTGTCTCTCGTCTCTATCCCCCACTTCTGTCTCTCGTCTCTTTCCCCCATTTCAGCCATATTCCTTCTCCTTCAATTAAATTTTGCTATGGATAGTTCTCGTGAAGATCAACGTTCTGAAGAACGTCATTTGGGAGAGGACGAGGGTGATGCTGGTTCTTTTTTGAATTGTTATTAATCTCAGTTTTTATTTTTATTTTTTTTGTGTGTATTTGAACTATTATTATTGCTAAACTGAAAATATACATTTGTTTCCTGGTTTTTAATTGTGTGTTTGTATTAACAAGGTACATCTCAACGGAGGCGTGGACCCTCAATTCCTAAATGGACGAAACAGCTTTGTTCGTTTGATTCGTCCGGAAAATGCATTAGTGATAATGCTAGTGCTTTTTCAAAACATGTAGCAGCGGAGGTTAGGGACTATAGAAATCTACCGTTGGAGAAAGATTGGCATAAGGTTACAGAAGAAGATAAGGAAGCTTTCTGGAATAGAATAAAGGTATAGGTGTTTTTATTTTTAGTTGAAAATAGAAGAATAAGTCAATGATTGTAATAATAATTGACTAGCGTGATTTTTTTTGTTTTTTGTTTTTATGTATGTAGGGAAATATTTTTTTTGAAGATGCAGATATAGTCAAAATGCCTTTGATCCGTCATATGACGCTTAAGATTGTAGAGCATGCGCACAAAGAGTTTAGAAATAAGTTAAAAAAAAAGTATTATACTAAAAGAGCAGAAGAGGTGCGCAGCGAGCCTCCTCCTGATGTGATTCCTGCCCAGTGGGATGATTTGTTGGCATATTGGAATAGAGACAAAACAAAGGTAAACCTTACACGATTTATTTCGTTATAACTTTAAAGTTCCATAATATAATCTTTTTTTTTTCTTTCGTTTTTTATTCAGGAGGTTGTTGAAAAAAATAAGATTAATCGGGGATTGAAATCAATGAACCATACCACTGGTACAAAATCCTTTGCAAGAGTGCAGGAAGAATATGTATGGATTGTACATTTTGAAGAAATGATTAATTTTAAATAATTATATTTATTTTTAGTATGAGGTTTGCTTAAGTTGTTTGTATGAAATTTTATTTTTGATAAAGCGGA